TCGGTCTCCCCCCTCCCTCCTCTTTCTCCCTACAGCTGTAAATTACACAATTCGGCTGAAGACACCGTCCTTAACTTCCTGCCTGGGGGGGGGGGGGGGGAGACAAGCCACAATCTCACCAATGCGCGACACTCCCATCAAAATCCCTCGTGTGACGGAAACACCGTGACCTCTTTCCTAACAAAATTTAGGTAAGCAGCAGACATCGGGGGGGGGGGGTATGTGGGGGGGGAAGGAGAGAAAGCAATGCTGAAAAAATCGCACACATGGCATGCCACAGAAGACAAGGGGAAACGAGGGCGGGAAAGGGGCTGGAGGTGGAGTGCGACGTCGAGATGTCAGCCCTCTCCACGGGAAGGGCGGGGGGGGGGGGGGATAAAGGAAGGCGAGGAGGTTCCTGAACCCTTGACAGAAGTGCACACCGACAGGGCCACGCTCCAAGTCACCCGCACCCCCCCCCAAGCCCCTCCCGCGCGTGCCCCGCAAAGGGCACGCTGGGTGTGCAGGAAGCGCTGACCCCGGCGGGGGCCGCTCCGGAGCCGGGCCGGAGGGGGGGGGGGGGGGAGGCCAGCGAGGTCTAATCTGCAACCGCGGCCGCCAGGGCCGGGGCGCCGCGTCCGCGCGCGGACACCGCGAGGGGACCCGGCTGTGTGCCGTGACACCGCGGAGAGTTGGGAGGGTGGGGGACACAATGTCCTCTTTCTCTCCCACACCCAGCCCGGCCCCTCCCGACCGACTCCCGCAGGCCCGGCCACAGCAGACCGGCTCGGTCCCGCGGACGTGGTTGGCTCCGGAGCCGACGACGCGGCCGGGCCTCCCGAGCTCCGGCCCCTCCCGCCGGCCGGGCCCCCCGGGCCGCCAGGGCCGCCGCCCCGGACGCCGTGGAAAGCAAACGCGGAGGAGGAAGGGGGAGCCCAAGGACTGACCGGCGACACGAGCCGCCTCAAGCCCCGACTCGGCCGACCCGAGCCCCCCGCTCCCTCAGGGCCCGGCTGGGGCTCCCCGCCCCTCACTCACCCCCCCGGTCCGGCGCCTCCTCCACCACCTCCTCCACCTCCTCCTCCTCCTCCACCTCCTCCTCCCTCCTCACGGCCGTGGCTCCGGCTCAGGACCCGGCTCTGCGCGACGACGGCGGCAGCGGCAGCAGCCTCGGGAGCGGCGGCGGCGGCGGCGGCGGCGCCTCGAGAACGCGCACGCACGCAAGCACGCAGGCCCCGCCCCCCGGCTCCGCCCCGCCTCTCCGAGTCCGCGTCGGCGGGGTTTCGGCCCCACCCCCCCGCTGGCGTTCCCGAGTTGGCTTAAAGGAGACGCTCGTGAAGGTGTGGGCGCTGATGAGAATTACTATGCTTGGCTGAGAGCTGGGAGCGTGGGCTTCGGGGCGGCGGCGGGGGGACGGAGAGGAGGTGGAGAAGGGGAAACACCGAAAATGAAATGAGGAGGGGTCAGAGGACCTGGGAGAATAGAATTCGGAAGAAGCTCAGCCCTTGGACTAGTGCTAATTGAGCACCTAGGAAGGTGCTCTGCACTGTTCTGGGCACAGGGGATGTGTGAAGCTCTACGGGGCCCTGGGAGCTTGCGATCTCATGGAGTAGGAGAGGGCACAGAGACAATAAACCAGACAAAAGTGGTAGACAGCGATCAGTGGCATAAGAAAAATAAAGTAACTTTATAGCTGCCCTGATATTTTCTCTCAAAAAAAAAAAAAAAATAGACCCTTAGCCGGGTACCATCGGCTTAACGCCTGTAATTCTAGCTACTCAGGAGCCTGAGATCTGAGAACAGTGTTAGGAGCCCAGCGAGTGCCGACCTTGAGTGGAAAATGCTAAGGGACAGCACCCAGGCTCTGAGTTCAAGCCCCAGTACACACACACACACAGACACAGACACACACACACACACACACACACGCCACTGTGTGCGCATTCACACATAAATATGAAGCAATCAGGCTAGCAAATCCTTTTCCAGACTGAGAGAAAAATAAGCCTTGAACCCATAGGTGGGTTCCATGTTGCCGGAACAAGCAAAAGGCTGAGTGGAATCAACCCACCAGACAGAAGGCAGACAGCCCCTGTAGTCTACAGGCCATTATAAGAGCAACAGGAAGTCCTTAGAGTAGAGTGAGCCCAGAAATGACTGTATCTGAATCACATTTTCTATGTTAGCCTTGCTGTGTGTGTGAAATGCACACTAAGAATGCAGTAACTAACACCCACTGAGAAACTAGTTTCTATGTTAGCTTGGACAAAGATGGTTGCAAAAGACAAAAATGGAAAAAAAAATTCTTATTTTGTTTTAAACCTTACTCATTTTAGTTTTAGTTAGATATATATTAATTGTAATGGATTTGAACCTAGATGACAGTGTGTGGGAAAACAGGTCCTTTGGTGATTCCTAGTTTCAGGGCTTAATGACTGTGTTAATACTGGTGCTGTTTAATGAGTTGGAGTAGAGGAAGTCAAGAGTTATTTCGTATTTGTCACTTTAGAAGTTAGCCTAGGGACTGGGAAGGTGGCTGGGTGGTAGAGGGCTTGCCTCTCATGTATGAGGCCCTGGGTTCAATTCCTCAGCATCACAGAAACAGAAAAAGCCAGAAGTGGTGCTGTGAGTGGTAGAGCACCAGCCTTGAGCTGAAGAGCTGAGGGGCAGCACCCAGGCCCAGAATTCAAGCCCCACAACTGACAAAACAAAAAACAAAACAACAGTGCCTAGCCAGGGTACCAGTGGCCCATGCCTGTAATGGTAGCTACTCAGAAGGCTGAGATCTGAGGATTATAGTTCAAAGCCAGCCCAGGCAGAAAAGTCTGTGAGAGTTAATCACCAAGAAGCTGGAATGGGAGCTGTGACTCAAGTGGTAGAGCATGAACCTTAAGCTTAAAAGCTAAGCTCCAGTACTACACAAATACATAATATATAAATAAATATAAACAAATACACAATATAATTAAATATAAACAAATACATAAAGCAATTTGCCTGTTTTGCATCCAAGTGGAGATACTGAGTTGGATGTATAAATGGGAAAAAATGGAATTCCTAAGCACATAAATGCTTTTAAGCCTTTACACAGAATCTGTTGGGGAGAAGTAGCTTAGAGGTTAAGGAGAAGAAACAGGAAGAAAAGGAGAGGTAGAATTTTGGAAGATAAAGGAATTGTTTCAGGAAGGAGAAAGTGATCAGCTTTATCAAATAACTGCTAAAATAATTCAGTTGAGAGGATTAAAGGATTTTGTTTTTGTCTTTCCGGTGCCACAGATTGAACCCGGGGCTCTCCACCTATCAGGGTTAGTGTTAGGTTTTAAAAAGAGGTGATGAATAAGAACAGCACCACGCACGTGGTATTCAGGTAAGGGGTAGGTTTATTCATCGTTCTGGCTGGCACCAGGCCAAGTTGGCCCTCCATGCGGCTGGGAAAGGCTTAGGAAAGAGAGCAGGGAAAGAGAAGAGAGAGCTGGGAAAAAGGGGGTCTGGGCCTGGGCTAGGCCTTATCTAGGGTATGGGCAGAGAAAGGTGTGGCCACATCAAATTCAGATGTGACCTCAGCGGATGCAGATGTGACCTCTTCCAGGTGTCCCAGTTGCCTAGGTAACACAGGTCCTGGGCGGAGACTTTGCTGCGAGGAGGGTGGAGTCTGCTCGCCATCCAGGAGAGGACCTTACAGTTAGTATTAAGTTATATCTCTAGCCAAGTGTTGAAAGTAAAAACACTGAATTGGTCTGTTGAAGGTTGCTAGTAGCTTTGATGTATAACCTTTCAGTGGAAGTTTGGAGAAGAAAATTTGGTTAGGGCATGTTAAAAGAATGAGAGGTAGAAGAAAAACTTCTTGAGGAACTTTGTTGAGAACAGCAACCAAGCAGTAGGAGGATTGTGGAAGGGCATTTTAAGATGGAGATAATTCATCATATTTGGCATGCTGGAATAATATCTAAAGAGGTAAAGTTGATCATACAAAAGAGGAGATATGGGGCTGGGAAGGTGGCTCAGTGGTAGAGCGCTTGCCTTGCATGTATGAGGCCCTGGGTTCAATTCCTCAGCACCACATAAGAAAAAAGAAAAAAGCTGGAAGTGGTGCTGTGGCTCAAGTGGTAGAACTCTAGCCTTGAGCTGAAGAGTTGTGGGACAGTGCCCAGGCCCAGAGTTCAGGCCCCACGATCAGGCCCCCTCCCCTCCCCCCCCCAAAAAAGAGGAGACACTTGGAGAAAGATTGTGTGTAGGTGAGAAGCAATGGGACATAGCACAGCAATAATAAGGACTGGACTTGAATAGGAACAAGGACGATGCATTCAGAGACACAAAAGGCACAGTTTGTGAGCAAAGAGGGAGCCAGACCACTTAGTGGTGGCAAAGCAAAAAGGGCAAGTCAGAGCTGTAATCCAGATTTTATTTTGCCCACCAGGCTGAGAAGTGGACCACTCACCCCTAATCTTCAGGATGCTGCACAGACTGAACACAGTAGAAACTAAGCACTTTTCTAATTGATCTAAGGGGTGTTACCTTTTAGCAGTGCTGCACACGGGCACGTGCATGCTCTCTCTCTCTCTCTCTCTCTCTCTCTCTCACACACACACACACACACACACACACACACACACACACACATAATGGATATATTTCCTCAGTTTGCTCTAAGTGCTGACTATTGCCCAAAGGATTGGTGAAGGAAGATCAAATCCAGGCCTTTTTTTTACTGTCTCCCCCCATCCCCCTTAGAGTTTAAAGTCACACTACAGTATTGTATGATTCTCACTTAGGTTCATTCCTGTGCTTGGGGCTTAGAGGAAAGTTAGATCTGATCAGGGTAAGATTTGGCTGATGAAATTCACTGGAGGGGGAAGGGCACTATGCAAGGCAATGGTTATAGTGGTCGACCTTGGAGTGAATCTAAGCTGGGAAAAATGAAAGGGTGGGTAAAAAGAGGTGGCCCCTAGAGGAAGGAATCAAATAAATGTGGGCCAGGGGACTTTCCAAGGATCAAGCATGAGGAAGTAAGGCCATCAGGGAAGAGGAAGTATGACAGATCTGTGACCAAAAAAAGTACTAAGCAAACAGCACAGCCATTCGGCCGGCCCCTGTCTCCCTGACAGTGTCAGAGCCATTGGTCTGGAAGAAGCTGAAGAATGGAACACCCACTCCTAATCTTCAGGATGCCACACAGACTGAACACACAGGAGGGAATCGGCCAATTAGGTACTGCCTCAGCTTCTTTACAAGCTTTGGACTATACAAAGCTTGGGTGGCCACATAAAATGCTTTACAAAGCACTGGCCACATTGCTTTCCTCACATCATGGGCTTATAATTATTTCTGGAGACATTTATTCTCGCCTGGTTTTTGAAATAGCCAGTGGTATCTTTCTTCCTAAGTCCAGTTCCTACTCCTCCTGACTTCCTCCTAGCTGCTGCTTCATGGCATCCCCTTTGTCAGTAGCCAAGCTGTCACCAAACCTGTGTCCTTTAATCCTTTTTCCTCCTCTCTCTGCCCAGTTAACCTGGAAAATGTAATAATCTGAATTATCCAATAAAATATGCTTCTGTGATGTTATTATCCTCTATCTGCACTGTCTTCGTGGGGCTATTGAACATTTGAAATGTGAGGAATGCAACTGAGAGACAGAATTTTACATTTTAATTTTTATTAAATTTCAACTTAAACAGGTAACAGGCTAGTGGATGCTATATTTATTTAGCTTAGCATAAGTATAGTTACTTCCTACCCCAAAGCTGATCTAGCTTCCTTGCCACTGTGCCAGGTCAAGTATTAATAATCCCTGAACATTTGGTGAACTCCATTTATTATTTGTTTGTGTTATGCTAGAAATGGGTCTTAAACTCAAGGTCTTATGCTCTCACTTGGCTTTTTTTGCTTGAGACTGGCACTCTACCACATCTTCACTTCTGGCTTTTTGCTGGTTAATTAGAGATTAGAATCTCACGGACTTTCCTGCTCAGGCTGGCTTCAAAACAAGATCTTCAGAGCTCAGTTTTCTGGGTAGTTAGGGATACAGGTGTGAGCCATCAGTGCGCAGCAAGTTACTTTCCCTTTAAATCCATCTTATGCCAAAAACACTCTCCTACATAGTGGTTAAATCATGACCCTGTCCTATCAGTACTTTTCCCACCAGTTAAGCACAAACTACTCAGTCTGACACTTGCTCCCGATTTTGTATTTCTAGGTCCCTTCTCCAGACTTACTTCTCACTGTATCCTTACATGTATATCCAACTACATGTAATTTCTGCCAAACTGTCCCAATTCTGTCTCTCTGCCTATCACAAATGCTCTCCACTGTCCACCCCCCACCAACAATACCATCTGCTGAATTCCTGGAAGGCCTATCTCTCAAGGACAGCCTCCCACCTGGAGAATTTTCTCCTCCTCTAAAGTCCCACCTTTTGACGCTACTTCACCTATGACACAAGCTACTTTGTATATTTTATAGGGACCTTTTCATTCTACATTCTTTTTTTGGGGGGGGAGGGGGGGAGGTCAGGTCGTGGGCCTGAACTCTGGGCCTGGGCGCTGTCCCTCAGCTCTTCAGCTCAAGGCTAGTACTCTACCAATTGAGCCACAGCACCACTTCCGGCTTTTTTCTTTTTGCTTATATGGTGCTCATGCATGCAAGGCAAGCGCTCTACTACTGAGCCACCTTCCCAGCCCTCATTCTACATTCTTTATTTCCTTTTCCTTAAAAAAATATTGTACCAGTACTGGGGTTTGAAATCAGGGCCTAAATGCTGTCCCTTAGCTATTTCACTCAAGGCTGACTATCTACCAGTTGAGCCACACCTCCACTTCTGGCCTTTTGGTGGTTATTTGAAGATGAGTTTCACAGACTTATCTTTCCAGGCTGGATTTGAACCATGATCTGCAGATCTAAGCCTCTGAGTAGGTAGGATTACAGGTGTGAGCCACTAGTACCCGTCTTCTTTTCATTCTTCTTACTAAATACCACTTCTTACAGATTATTGCATTTTAATGATGTTAATTCCTCCTGCAGTGTTGGTCTTGCAGTACCTTAAGAAATGAAACATTTCTCAATTAGCCACTGAATGAGTTATATGCTTTTATGAAATCTGAGAATTTAGACTTTGTCTAATGCTGATAGTAATATTACTACCTCTCAAGGAGAATATCCTTATGCCCTTAGATGACATTGTTTCTCTTCATATTACAACTGGCTAAGGATCTTTTCAAATTGCCTCTCACACTTAAGATACTTCAACAATTCAGTTATAGCCTGTAACTCTAGGAGGTATGATGTTCAGACCTGGCAGGATCAGAAGAGCTACTTTCAGGATCAATTTATAGAAAGGCCTTTAAAAAGCATTCAGATTGTGACACTAATCAATAGAAAAGGAGCCTTCCATTTTAGAAAATGTATTTTTAGGGATTGAACTCTTAGAATCTTGTAACCCATGAGAAAACTGCACAGGCTATGCCCTTTGAAACCTAATGTGTTTTCTCTTGTTTTAGTGGGTTTTATGAAATTTAAAGCTATGTATATATGTATGTATGTATGTATTTAGATATTTATTATCAGTACTGGGGGTCAAATCCAAGGTCACATCCATGCCCGGCAAGTGGTGGGGCAGTAAAGTGACACCCTGATCCCCAGGGATAACATTTTCAATAAAATACATACCTCACACATGTAACACCTTATGATCATTGGTTTAACAGACCTGAACTGAAGCTTAACACTTGCCAATGTCTCATTCATGAGACTGAGGGTGTAGACAGGAAAAATTAAAGCTTGTCTTGCAGAGGGTAAAAGTATGATATGGCATTGGCTAGTCACGTTATAGTTTTTGAAACGATCCCACAATAACTAATTTAATCCTATCAAAACCCAGTATTAAATTAGGTACTATCATCCTCATTTTGCAGTAAATTGGAAAGGCCCCTAGGTGGTACCTGACTCTTTGAGAATCAACACATTGGCTTTAGGGACTGTATATGGAAATACACACCTGTAGTCTCAGCTACTCAGGAGAAGGAAATAGATCATAGTCTAAGAACAGTCATGCAAAAATGAGAGGTCCTATTTGAAAACAGACTGAAAGCAAACAAATGGAGGCATATCTCAAGTAGTAGAGCTCTTTCCTACCCCAGCACTGCCAAACAAAGAGCAACAGCAATAATTAATAAAATGAGTAACAACAACAAAAATCACCAATTGGATCAATGTATTAGAAAACAAAAACTTAGTCTATTTTGTTCATTGTAATATTCTCAATAGAAATTCAGGATCATATGTTCATAAACGGAGAAAGAGAGAAAAAGAAAATAAGCCAACCATCTGGTTCCTTACTTAGTTGTGTGTTTTAATTATGTGATAAGTGCATCTTATCTCTATTGGTGCTATTCATAATGTGCTCCATAATTTAGTTCTTCGTTATTACTGGTAATAATTGTTTATTACCAGTGGACCTTGTAAGTGTGGCAAATGAGGAAGCATTGAGAGTCTTCTTTGGCAACTTGACATTGCTATAATCTTCAAACTAGTGACCAGTGCACTTGATTAGTTGAATCTGGGTACAAACTAGTTTAGCTCATGTCCAGCTCATGTGGAGAGTCACCAGTAGTATAGTATTATTTCATTTAATCATACCATCTAGGTCACTTGCTACCTTCCTGCCCATTTTGCTTTCTTCTTCTTGAAGATATTTACTGTTTAACAAGGAGAAGGTTTCATGCCTTTGAAGTGAAACTCAGCAACTGATGTGATATATTTTTTAACTTCTTCTTCTTGGAGGCCTTATCTACTGATCTTGTGATATGTAGGTATTGTTGTGTAGCAAAGGGGTATACGGTACCTGGAGTGAGATAATACAGATTAAAGTATAGGTTCTGGCACTTACCAGCTGTGTGAACTTGGGCAAATTGCTTAACTTCTTGCAGTCCCAGTTTTCTTATCTTAAAAAAAAGTAGGGCTAGAGATGTGGCTCAGTGGGTGCAGTTTTCCTAGCAAGATCAAGACCTTGAGTTAAAACCTCAGTACAATAAATAAATAAATAGAGTTTGGTTAAAAACTAAGACAGCTAATGAATGTAAAACATTCATTAAAAACTGGTACATTATGACAAAATATTACTTTTATGTTATAGTTAACATTATTCTATGCTGAGATCATAAAAATTCAGGCTATTTGACAAAATTTTAAAACCTTCACTATAGAGATAATCGTAGGAATATCTAGGCTTGTATATAGACAGTCACTTCTCAGCTAGACAAGAAAGGTCAACTACTCTCAGAGACCTTTGTATTTGTTTTTTAATGCATTCTGTAATCTGAAGAATAATATATTTAGCTTCAAGGTTGCCATTAGAGACAGTTTCTGAAATGGGGAATGGTGGTGGTTCACACCTATAATCCCAACACTCAGAAGAGTAAGGCCAGAGGATTGTGAATTCAATACCAGCCTGGAACTCTATAGGAAAACAACAACAGCAACAACAGAGAAAGAGCCATAGACAGAGACAGGAGGGAAGGAAGAAGGAAGTAAAAAAAGGGAAGAAGGGAGAGAGGGAGGAAAAGAAAAAGGGAAGGAAAGAGGGAAGCTGAGAAGGAATGAACTCTATTTCTCATATGAAGTTATGGGTTGGTAAAAGAAGGCAAGCAGTCAGGTGTTTGGTGTACATTGCATGAGAGCTATAGAGAGTGAAGAAAACACACAGATAGTCAAGATTAACTTGTTGAGCTGGAAAGGTAGCTCAGTGGTGGAATGCATGTTTAGCATGAACAAGGCCCTAGGTTCAATTTTTTAAAAAAGAAGTGAACACAAAGGCATAATGCTTATGTGCCTCTGATCATATAAAATAATATTTATCAAAACGAATGCCAGGAAATGGAAACATTTGTCTTGTTTTCTTTTTGTCTTGTTTTCTTTTTGTCTTGTTTGTTCCTTTGTCTTTGGAAAGGCAAGTGGAGGGGCACAGAAATGGAGGGACAAAGGATGAACAAAGCAGCAGTGGTATTCACTGGACAGTATGTGTAAAATAAATGGGGACAGCAGGGAAAAACTTGGAGAGAGTGAGGGAAGGGGTGACATTGTCCAAAAAAAAAAAAAAAAGTACTCTTAGCTGGGCACTGGTGTCTCATGCCTGTAATCCTAGCTACTCAGGAAGCTGAGATCTGAGGATTACAGTTTGAAGCCAGCCTGGGAAGGAAAATCTGGGAGACACTTAT